TATTTTATTTGTATTTTGGTTTGTGTATTTTATTATTATTTTATTTATTTAATGTATTTAATTTATATGCCACCCACACTACCCAAAGGTCTCTGGGTGGATTTTATGTTTATGTTTATGTTGTACTGTAGTTCAAATAATAAAATAATTTTAAAAATAAAAAAGAGAAACAACACTCTTTTAGCAAGGGTATTCCATCACAGAATATGCAATGCTTCTATTAAGATGACGCCTGTTATGAAGTATGTGCCCCTTTTATGTTTATGTTGTAGTTTAAATAATAAAATAATTTAAAAAATAAAAAAGAGAAACAACACTGTTTTAGCAAGGATATTCCATCACGGAATATGCAATACTTCTATTAAGATGAAGCCTGCTATGAAGTGCGTGCCCCCCACTTAAGAAAACGAAGATGTTTTCCTCTGAACTCTTGCTCTTGTCTCTATGCAGATTTGAGTCAATTATACATTAATCCACTTAATGTTTTTTTAATTGAGTGGCAAAGCTGTTATTTATTTAGTTTCCCCATTTAACTATTTTTTGGGGGGGAGCAAAGGAAAACTTAAGACAGCTAACTCAGTGAATATAACTACAAAGGTGTCAAAGCTGGTGAATAAAAGATTCCTCATTGGGTGTGGAAATTGTGAATTGTGATTTATTAATGATAGGAATAGGCCTAATATGGCTTCATTTACTTTGCTCCTTAATCCTCCTCCTCTCGCATAGTTGCAAGGAAGAAAATCAAAGTTTTGCTTCTGATTTGAATTAACCACAATTTAGCATTATACCTGAACTCTTTACTGTAGTTAATACTACTATGTTTGTTGAAACAAGTTGGCTTTGTAAAGCACAATTTGAAGTAGCATTGTTTCAAGTGAACCATATTAATGTATAATTGTACTGAGACAACAGGAGAAACTGGGGGTAAACCTAAGGGTGTGGTTATATGAGGGAAAATGTACAATGTTTCGCTATCCGGAAAGGGGGTAAACCTAAGGGTGTGGTTATATGAGGGAAAATGTACAGTGGTGCCCCGCATAGCGACGATAATCCGTTCCGGATAAATCGTTGCTATCCGGACACATCGCTATGCGAAATAAAAAAGCCCATAGGAATGATTAAAACACGTTTAATGCGTTCCTATGTGCTTAAAAACTCACCTTATGCGAAAATCCTCCATAGGGTCGGCCATTTTCAGTGCCTCTAAAGCGAGGCAACACAGCGGGTGGCCATTTTGGAACCGCCGATCAGCTGTGCGAAAATGGGGCCTTTGGGAGGACCGTGGGGGAGGGCTCCTGATCCCAAGCCTCCGCCGGTCAGCTGGGGGAAAATGCTGGCTGGGGCTTTGCGAGGACCGCGGAGGAGAGCTCCCCCACGGTCCTTCCCAAGCCCCCGCCAGTCAGCTGGGGGAAAATGGGGCATATGGGGGAAAATCGCAAAGCGATTTTTCCCCATAGGGAACATCGCAATGCGATTGCAAAAGCAATCACAAAATCCACATCGCTGTGCAGATTTGTCGTTAAGCGGGGCACCCGTTAAGCGGGGCACCACTGTATTTGAATTGGGGTTAGCATGTTTTAATTTTTATGTATTTGAATTGGGGTTAGCATGTTTTAAATCAATTTTTAAAAAGATGACTACACAATGCACATGAAAGCAAGGAATCATATTACAGTATTTTGATCAGAGGCAAAGTATTTTACTCTTCCGCCAGAGGGTAGTCTATTTTAACTTGGATGTCAAATTGATTTACTTTGAATCAGTTTGACATATGTGAAAGCCTCTGATGGTGCAAATGTCCCTGTGGAGTTTGCCACTCATTCCTTCTCCAGTGCCCAAGAGAAACTTCGTCCCAGCATTGAGGTTAAACTTTTTTTTTTAAAGAAACAGCATGAAGGGTAAGGAATCATGGCTGAGGAGATCTGCCACTCCTGCAAACACCCTTTTGCATTGGATCAGGAGATCACACCATTAGAAAGTGAACAAAAGAAATGTCAGCCCAGTCAGAACACATTTCAGCCACCACTGAAACAAAACAAGACAATTCCCCACTCAAGACAGAATTTGGGAAAATCAGGGTTTGAATGGAGAATCTTCATGGGTGTCTTCTTTAGACACATCGCTTTTTGTAAGAACAAAACAACAAGATGGGTGCCCCATAAAGCTCCTCATCTTTATGGATTAAATCAACACGCTCATGGGTGCCCGAACAGGGCTTCTAATTGACAGGAAGAAAGGGGTTGCAGTTTGTTAAATCCTTGCAGAGGAAACATGATCTTTCTACTTCCAGAAAGAGAAGTTGTGGGACAGGTGGGGCTGGGTGCAGTAATAAACAATATAAATTGTTTAGGACAGCAGAACTGAACAGTTCTACCACTGAGATTAGTTCGTTCATTGGCGACTATTATAGTTATAACCTTAGTTGTTTGATGCCCAAAGAATAGATGGGTGTTTCTCTCCCAATTGATTGCTATTTAATGATGGTGTTAGGTTTAGACAAGTGCCAAAAGGAGAAGCCAACCTGATTCTTCACTTGATTGTAGCAGTCTGGGCATCGGGTGTGTTCACAGCTTCGCCCTTCAAATCCTGGCTTACAGATGCAGCTCCCGTCACTCTGACACCGCAAGGGCTCAGCGCCCACTGAATTGCAATTGCAAGCTGCACCAGTAAGAAAAAAGCAAAATGTTCCCATGTGAAATGCTGGCACATCACAGGCACTTTCCAGCCATAAGAGACAAGTTCAGGGGCTGCCAAACCAGAAGGGACAGGAACGCAGGCATGAGCCAAGGTTGGAAAGACAGTAACTGCTTTTCAAGCTAGTCTGGTGTGATGAGGGATTTTGCATGTTTTAGGCTCCAAAAGCAGCTCCTCTTTCTTCCCCAGGGCCATGGCAAGACATTTTGCTGCCAGAGGCAAGATGCAAAAGAAAAAAAAGGGCAAAACAGTACTCTCACACATGCAAAGATACCATTTTAAGCCCAATTTGAAAAAAGAATTTCTTTTCTTCTCAATGACATAAATTGTAAAACCCTTATTTTCCACATCTTCCTTCATTCTTCATCATTTATTCTCTTTCCTAAGTCTTGTTCCCACACTAACTTCAATCCTTCATTCTCAGTCTCTTCTTCTTCTAGATCTAGCAGGAATCTATAAATTTTGCCCACTGCACCCCTTAGTGAATCAGTCATCTGAATATCTTCTTTTAAGAAAGAAAAAAAATTACAAGCAACTGTTTAATTATCTATCCTCATGTTGCTTCAGTTCATGGCTCATTCAAGGCCTTAAGCTGAAATCCTGTTGCTTGGCACTAGAGTATTGAATAAATTAAATTTAAGGAGGGTTGATTCTAAATCCCCAATTATTAATGGACCTATTGTAATTGTGACTTTGTTGTTGTTGTTTCATCATTAAGTCGTGTCCGACTCCTCGTGACCCCATGGACCAGAGCACACCAGGCTCTCCAGCCTTCCACTGCCTTCCTGAGTTGGATCAAATTCATCTTGGTAACTTCAATGACACTGTCCAACCATCTCGTCCTCTGTCGTCCCCTTCTCCTCTTGCCCTCACACTTTCCCAACATTAGGGTCTTTTCCAAGGAGTCTTCTCTTCTCAT